TATATATATATATATATATATATATATATATATGTGTGTGTGTCATACAGCAAGTCCCAGCGTATTCTGCTGCTTTATAATTTCTGATTAGATGTTTCCCCCCCTAAGCATCTGATGTTTTCTTTTTTTGTGAGAACAAAAGCATAAGGTTTGTATTTTTGATGTTCCTGGTGTAAATGATGCCTACATTAGTATAATTTATCCTATCTGGTTCTGCATGGATATATTTGTAAGCATCTTCATGGAATTGTAGTTGCAGTTGTTAATTTTGTCCATGTTCAACAAGAAGATTTGATTTTTATCTTATGTTTTGTCCTTGTATTGCAGGTCTGTCAATTATTTTAAACCATAAAGCTGAATTAGTAAAGAGCAATTCCATGCCAAAAGTGAACCAAGTCAGTGAGCTAGTAATGCTATCCAGCATGTGCTTAAATCAGAGGGCTGGTTGACCAAGTTTTCCTTAATTTGAGTTCTTTTCAGTGCACTGCATCCAGAAACTAGAGAACACCCCACAGCGTCTCTGAAAGTGTACTGCCTGAAACATATACTGTGTAACTTTCTTGATCTTCTGCTTCACCAGCCACATTCATTTTACAAAGCAAGTCTGTATCTGATTGGTTTCAGGGAAGTACTTCTTTGTACTGACAATTTTTTATGTGAGGTTTTCTGTAGAAGATTCAAGCTCTCTGCAACCTGGGATAAGCATATCTCTCGATCGCATGTAATCGTACATGGAATGATTACCTGTGGGACAGCCATGGACATATGCGGCCACTCTCACCCTGCCATTAACGTGAATGGGCACTTTGGGAGCATCTGTACAGATATACATGGGATTCCTGCTACAAGAATCTGCAGGTTTCCCAGATGCCTGTGTGCATGGGGCCTTAGTTAGAACAAAAGTAATAAAAAGTATCAGATCTGCAACCAGCCTATGGCTAGTTCCAATGAGTGGACATGTATGAAGCCTACTCAAAACATTACAGTAGCTGCTTAAATGTAGATCGTCACCTTGTTCAGTGATCAATCACAGCCATTTGCTAGATAAGTTTGCATTCAAAGTGCAGTAACCTAATTGAACCAATCAGAGAACAGTTTACTAAAGTCAGATCAGTTAAGAGTTTAATGCTGAACAATACTAGATATAATTTCTCTCAGCCTTTGGTCCATGTCACAGCATTGATCCTCTTGCTGGCTGAGCTAGTTAGGTGATGCCCTGATGCTGCTCCCTTGTTGGTGATCGAGTTTTTGCAGTGTTTTGGCCATCAAAGGATTAGCACTGTAGAAGCAGGTGGATGTTCTCTCCTGCTGGCGTTACAGCCAGTGGAAGGATCCCTACTGTGACCTAGTCCTTATTAAATACAAGTGATCAATCTCCAACTAGGTAATAACAATTGACCTATACAATATACTTGTTATAATAAGTTTGTTTTATTATCATTTTATTTTAGGAATTGATAGTCTTTGCAATGGGAATGGCAGATACGACTTGGCTACTGGTACTTGTATCTGTGATGCGGGCTTTGAAGGACCTGACTGTTCTCAGAAGAGCTGCATCCCGGCGTGTGGAGAAAATGGCAAATGTGTTAACGGTGTCTGTGTGTGCAGTGCAGGCTTCCTTGGACTGACCTGCCAGGAGCCGGACTGTGTCGTCAGCTGCGGTGATAACGGGCGATGTGATGGTGGCCTGTGCTTCTGTGAGGAGGGATTTTTTGGAGAATCATGTTCAGACGGTAAGCAATGATTCACAGACATAGCATTAAAAATGACTGTTACATGGAACACGTTATCATGTTAAAATTATAATAAACTATTTTTCCTTTACTAACTTATCCATCCATCATTCTTATTCTGAAAAAGATTACAGCAGGTCATTCAAGAACAGGCAAATGTCTCACCTCTTGTTTTTCCAGCTGAAACATCTGCCTGTATGCACACCTACAATTATATTGAAATACATCACTCTTAACTTTGCTTAGTTTAAACATAAGCTTCTTCAAAATACTCTGTGTGCCAACACTATTTTTTTTCTTTGTTCTAACTTTTTTCAGTGATGGCTGTGCAGAACTTGCGTCTCATCAGCACCACAGAGGAGTCTCTGAATATTGCCTGGGACCTGCTGGTGGAAGTGGATTTCTACTACATCACTTACTATCCATTTGACGATGAAAGTCAGAAAAAACAAATTAAAGTTTCTGCAAACCAGGACTATTACCAGATCGGAGGTCTGAGCCCCAGCACGTTGTACAAGATACTCATGTATCAGGTGAAGAACAGTATTACCAGCGAGCCTGCTCCACTTCAAGGCAGAACAGGTAAGGAGGAGATGGGTCAGACACTGTAGCAGGTAGATACTAGATAGCCCATGTGCAGACAAAGTTTGAGTCATCTTTTGGAAGTGGGGATCTGTCTAACTTGTGTAGAATTTAGGAATTCAGGTGATCTTAATTTGACTTGTGTATATCTAAGCACACTGCAATTTCAATAAACTAATTAATTCATTGACCTATAAATCAGTTTTGCTCATCTGTTATGAATGCTAACAAGGGTATACTCTTGACGTAGAATGTGAACAGTGATACTGCAAAGTGAGAAAATAGTAATGATGTAACTTTTGAGTTCTACCATTGACTAACTAATGTCTCTAATTCCACCTGATTTTGTTCACCTGCAGATAATGGATAGATATGCTCTAGTTTGGGCTATTTGACCTTTTTTCATCTTTTCCAGATGATGGAAAAATGGGAACCCTGTGGGTGACAGAAGAGACAGAGGACTCTTTGGAGGTGGAGTGGGAGAATCCTGATGTTAGAGCAGACTACTTTAAACTGATCTATTCCACCCAGCCTGGTGGAGCTGAGACAGAAGTTCAAGTAGCTCAGAGCAATGATCCCAAGACCAGCTACATCATTAAAGGTAAGTTATCAGGGAAGGTTTAAAGGTTTGAAAACAGTATCTTAAGTGTAACCCCACTTTTTAAAGTTTTGAATAGATGGAGAATGGTTAGAAACACTGTTGGGGTTTCAGTAATTTCTGTATCCCCATTGTGGTTATTTCCTTGCACTTCTTGTCCCCAGTGACACAAATGGGAGGGAATCCTGCCATTTATAGTTTATACTGGAACATCTGTCACTGTTAGAAGGTATTCCTCCTACTGTGGATCTGATGGCAACTGTAGAAGTTTGGATTCCCCTTCACTTACTGTCAATGGTGACAGCAATATAGACCTAACAAAGGTTCTGACCCTTCCACACTGTTCAATATTTGTATTTTAGCTTACTTGTCTCTCTGTCAAATATGGGAGCTGGTCAAAGGAACAGCATATGCCCATCAGGTTGGGGGTTTTACAGCCAATAATAACATGCATAGTTTCTTAGCTCTGCACTTGCTAGTCTGCTGGGGCCATACATGATTCCAGGAGAAGGATTAGGGACACATGTGAACCCTAACTGCTCCAGCCTTAAGTAACATTAAGAAGTTGTTCCAAAAGTTCTTCTCCATTTTTAAGGAAATTTAACTGTAAAAGAGATGATAAAGTACACATCAGAAACTATTGCGATCATTACCCGTGGAGCCATCCATTTGGTACCCTGATATGTTGAGCTCTAAAGCTACTACAGTCACTCACAAGGACCTGCAATAATGACCTATTGCTTATGTAGGAGAGGTAACAATAACTAGTGAGGCATTTTAGCTGATAAGCTCTTTGATTAAAGCATGGGAGACATTTTCTTGTGTTGCCTGGCCACCAACATGAAGGAAAAATGTAAACACTGCGGGGAGCTCAACTACAGTAAATGAACATCATAAAAAAAGTCTCTACAGCATATGGAACTCATATCTTTTAATTATCAAGAGGCACAATAGGAGACTGGAGTGATCTACAGGTATACTTGAAAACCACTTTGATCCACTGCAGCTTGAAAGATGTTCAAAGCAGGTAATTCTTCTGTACAGTGGAAGAGCAAGAATGTGGAAAAAATAGAAACAGACAGATTACAGTTTCAGAGCAGCAAAAGCAGAACAGACTGTCTAAGCGCTAGAAGTTGATCTGTAATATTCTGTTACAAAACGCACTGCAGTTTAGTCATTTTTTCAGTGATCTGGTTAAACACTTTTGATTATATTGAATGATACAAGTTATTTAAAATAAAACACATTCATAGGTATATGTATCCTGTCAACAGTGTCTCTTTAAAATACACTTATACAATATACTTCCTAGTACAGCTTCTGTTAATTGGAATCTTAGCTCTTTTGAGGAGCTAAAAGCACTTCAATCTCTTTAGAACTGCAAGGACACACTAGTGAGGAAGCGAGTGGGGGAGAGGAAATTGGTGGGGGCTACAGTGGTAAGATGCGGGCATCTGACGCATTTGGACGTGTTGGATGCTAATGATGCTAATGATGCTTCTAGCTCTACAAAAGAGTGAATATTCTTTCAATGGATATAGTACTAGTACATGTATTTTAAAAATACACCCGTTGTTAGGATACAATTATCCTAATGGCTGTTTCTCTTTAAAGTATATCTGAAGTCAAAACTTTTTTCTCATTTTTGATAGAGTAGGGAATGCTTATAACCTTTCAGGTATTTTTCATCTGTGTCCAATGGGGAAATTTCACTCCACTTCCTCTTCTATAAACACAAAAGGAAGCAAGAGGAAATCTCTCCAAACTGAGGGAAATTCACCCTTGATCATTGACATTTGTCATAAAATCTTGCCTCCATTCCTGTTTCAGTGGCAACTCAAACTTTTGGTCACCAGGACAAATAGGGAGATGAATCTCACCAGTGAGGACACAGACAGCAATAAAATCCAGAAAGGGGTTCTTCATCACTCTATCCAAAACTGAAAAATAAAGTTTTAGCTTTAGCTACACTTTAAGTAAACAAGTGTATAGTATAAATTATTGTAATAGTAGCGGGAACATTAGATCATTAGATTGCAAGCTCTGAAGAACAGCACTGATATTGGTGTTTCAGTGTTCTCAGTAAAGCCTTGTAGGGGTTTTTTAAATAAACAAAATAAATAGAGACGACAAATTATCCTTAAAGGAGAACTATTTGGAGAGTAAAATGAATTTTTGAGCCAGCGTGTGACACTGCAGCTGAGAAGCTGTAAGCTGAACGATCAGTGGTTTGTGATTGCTCAGTTCTCAAGCTGTAGAGCTTTCCTGTGGCCAAATCTATAGCTTGAGAACTGAGCAATCGCAAACCACTGATCGTTCAGCTCACAGCTTCTCCTTGCAGAGAGCAGTGACTGTCAGCCCCCTCACCCCACTGGGATTTCCCCCTCCCCTCTTTTTATTCCTCCTGCACTCTTTGGAGGGGGCGGGCACAGCTGGCTCTGGCTCTAGAGAGGCAGAACCAGCTGTCAATCAGGTAGTGGGGTTGACCCCAAGAATATCATTGGGATCTTTCCCGGCTGCAGCACAGCTCTGTGCTGTCAGCATATAATGGGCAGGAGCCCGGTAAAATGCTGATTTTTGGGTCACAGGAGTTCATTAGTAAATGTACTCCTCTGACTCAAAGGAGGACTAAAGCAAAAAAAAAAAAGAAGTTTGGCTATAGTTTTCTTTTAATTATTAGAATCTGAAGGATTTACCTGCATGGCGTCTGTATGTTCCTCCCATGTAATAAAACGTGGTTCACCCCAGATGTTCCAGTTTTCACCTACCAAAAAACATGCTGTTGACCCTCCAGCTCACAGGAGGAATAAACCATACACAGCATTTGGAAAAGAGTCATCTGCTGATTTGAGGTCTATATTGGGGCAGTTGGGCTTGGGTATTGTAAATGTATGAATCCCCTTTAAATTTAAAATAAAGCTTTTATATTGAAATAAAATCTACAAGCATGTGGGGATCATTTACAATAGTGGAATTTTTTGGGGAGTAAATCTACAGTCTTACTTAATAAATGTAAGTCTACTCTACAATTAAACTGTTACTAGACTATAATGAGCATAAATCTTGCATCAGCCACTGATTTTACCCATAAATTGCCTCTTATTACGTGAAAACTGTCTGTAAAGTGCTTCAATGCGCTGTTGAGTTAGTGCTTTTTCCATGACTTCTGACACAGGCCAAAAGATACCCAATCTGGTAACGTCTGTCAGTAGCAGTTATGCTTAAGTGCTTCCATATGTTCACAAGATGCAAGGAACATCTTTCAGAGTTTAGCAGTGCATTTTTGGCCCTCAAGGTAACAAAGGAGTTAGGAATTAATGCTGTGGTTACTGTCTAAAGATTTTAATACATACAGAGACAGATCTCTTAGGGAAACATTATTTTTACAGTCATTAATTGTGTAAAAGCTAAGAGTTCCTTGTAAAAGAAAATTACTACAACGGTGGTGGGGATGGGGGACTCCTATATACACACACACAAAGGGGTCCACAGCTAGATATTATTTAACTCCGAACATCCTATTAAATACACCTACGGTTTTGTTCATATTGTTCCTTATTTGATTTTCCTTCATCTCCTGTCCTGGAGATGCAGCAAAAGAATTACACCTTAGAGAGTTGTCACAGAACAAGTGTCCAAACTGAAGGGTGTTCCTTGACCTTATGCTCTGATGACAACTTGAAATTTGAGGATTTCCCCAGTTGAAGTGATTTGCCTTTACAATCACTTCAACTGACAGTGGTAGGGAGGCTGATTCCAGGTAATAATGATAGAGGGGTATCATACTTACCAAGACTATGGCCCCACAACTACGACACTATTAATTCCATGGGAAGCATTTCCTCCATCCACTTTCCAAGTGGGCATTCGCAATTCATGGCCACTTTACAGAATGGTCTCGACCCCACCTCTAAATATGAGGGAACTACCCACTTGGAGCCCTGGTCCCTGCAGTTAAGGCTTTTTTGAGTTACTGCACATGTACAAGAAGGTTGATGCTGTGACATGGTTTGGGACACAGCACTGACAGTACAATGGGCCAAGTTGTGGGCCTGTCTTGGCAAATTCAGCACAGTTAGTATCTATGGATCCTCTGATACTTTAAACACTCATCCTACCTGAAACTGTAATATTACCCTAAACCTGCCCTTCCCAAGTACATATTTTTATTTAATACATTCACAGCTATTGGAACTTCTACAGAAAATAAAACAAAACTCTGCAGAATAAATTAGGTTATTCATTGAAGAATCACTCTTGTGAACGCATCTTGAGATGTTGAAATAAATATCTCTAACACAATACAAATCTGTAGCAGCTTTCTGCCTCTGTTTGACCTCAATTTATCAGCTATAATAAAATTATTACTTCTCGTCTAGGCTGGGAGAAATACAGATTATCTTAAACTTGATATTTACATGAAGTGATCTTGAGATCTAAATGCATTTTCACAAATACTGCAGTCATAGAGAGCTCAGTAAAACACTTTTAGGCTGAGCCTGTTTTATGAGGTTAATAACAATAAGCCTGTTTTTGAGATTGCGCAGGAAAACATGTCAGGATAGAACCGAGGTGATTACTGGTCTTCAGAAGAGTGTACCTTATTAAAAAGTTCCCTTCTACATTTTAGCTGAGCTCCTTTTGAACCTCCTTATGGTAACAGGGTAACTAAAAAATATACCCAAAATGTTTTTAAAAGACAAAAAAAGTATGCAAGTCTGTGTATAAAAAACAGCAGCAAAAATCCGGTTGATGTACATCTGTGCTAGGTACCCAGCCCTGAAACGTTAAAGGTCTTGGCTTTTGGATCAACAATTCCTGTTAAGCCATTATGTTTTATGAAAGCTCCTATATATACCTGGTCTTCTTGATTGTTAAAAGTGTATGTAAACTTTAACAATTAACTTCTCATATTCTCCCAGACAGGCAGACAGAGTAATCTGTCACAAAGACCATGATCTCCGAGCAGTTTACTAGTGCTTGGGTTGGACACATTTTGGATCCGATTAACAGATTGTTGGGTGGGGCTTTGGAGGACTAACATGTTTTAGTACACATTGATACAAATGATAAAGTTAAGGGAAGATGGTGCATCCTACAAAAGATTTCAGGGACTTAAGTTCCAGGGTCCTCCAATGTAGTATTTTCAGAAATGCTACCTGGGTCAAGAGCTGCACCTCAGAGACATCTGTAACCTAGGAAGCTGAACAAGTGGCTGAGAAACTGGTGTAAGGAGGAGGGTTTTGGTTCTTGGAGAACTTGGCTGATGTTTTGAATTTTGGTCAGTAAAGGGCTCTACTGTATGGATGGGCTCCATTTAAATGGGGAAGTCTGCAAGGGGAGAAAATAGAAGGCTGGAGGAGCTTTTAAACTAGAACTTGGGGGTATAGAGAGCAAGGGTCCATGGGGGAATGGGAAATAGAGGGGCGGGTAGAACAGAGAGGGAAGGGGGGCTCAAACTAGATGGGAAAGGGATTATACCATGTAAGGCCTCGTTTACACAAGGTATTTATCTCTGGAGACAGATTCCTGCAGCAAAAACCTGACACCCCTGAACACAAGCTGTATAGAGATATAAAATATATAGTGACATATATAGTCCCAGAGGTAGCCACTGCACTCTATTAAGGTAAATGCCTGGGTGCACATTCAGAAAAACATCCATATTAATCCAATCCAAAATAGATAAAGCAGCACTCAAGCAACACCATTGTTTCAATGGTGCACAGTCCATCTTTCTCAATACGTTCTCAGTATATACTGTATATTACAATATGTAAGCTCTAGTACATTTTTGTTTGAAAAAAACATGGAATTCCTTTTATATGTGGGCAAGGCTTCATGAATTCTGCAATCTGCCATATACATTGTGTTGCTTATATGTGGCACATAAAACCACTGCCATTTGCCTTCTGTGAGCCATCTTATGTAATTTGTTGTATGTCAGCTGATAAAACAGCAAATCAGCAGAGAAATCTACTTCAAAACAGATGTATAAGGACATAATTGTGGTGTTTTCCCCCCCAGGGTTACGGCCAAGTACAACGTATGATATCAGTGTTCGGGCTGTGAGAGGAGCCAGGGAAGGAAAGACCTCCACGGTTGTTGGTGTGACAGGTATGGTAATGCAGTACATCAATCTCCATATACTTCTAGTTATAAACGTTTATAACATTTAGCCAAAAAGCTAATTACTGCTGAAAGACATCCAGAGGAAGTGTTCTGCCTTTGAAAACATTTGAAAGACAATGAACGTAGTCTTGTGATCTGCAGCCAAAACTTTGGAGAGAGTAGGGAAGGGTTAATTCCCTTCACTTCCCATCCTGGAGAAACAACAGGAAATGGGAGAAAATCTCTCCAAAATAAGCAGAATTCCTATCTTTGACAGTTGTCATAGGAACAGGTATCTCCATCGGAGGACTTTCCCACAAAGGGACTAAACCTTCCAGGAAAAGTCTGCACAGACATTTTTGTGATCCAGGCACACCTTTCAGATAGCACAATCAGATTCTAAACTTCTGCTGTAGCAGCAGTGCAGCTTGGTCGAGAACAATCACCCCATAGCCAGCTGATTGGGCAGTGAAGGAGCAGCAGTACACTAATGAGCTCATCTCTCTGCTCACCCTGCCTCCTCCTCCTGTCAGTATATTCACTGTAATCATGTGTGCATACAGCAGAGACTGATTGGATTAGAGTGCTGGTTAGGTTGTAGAAGGTACAGGTCCATCGACAAGTGGACAAGATATAGATTTGTGATGAACAAAGTAGGGAATAAGCAATTAGCCAGCTGGGGACATTTTGAAGCTGAGGCTATGTGGTACTAGGCAATACACACAGAGAAGATCTTCAGAGTTTTGAAATATATTTCCAATCAACAAAATGCTCAGCGCCCCGTTATCATTACTCCAGGTGGCCAAAACTAGAAAATAATGGAATAACACATCTCGTATTCTCCTAACAGAATAGGTTTATTGTGGATCACGTCTTACTTTGCTCAGCGCCAATGTAGAGTGGTGACCTATGAGGGCAATACCTAGCTTCAATTTCTTTCTCTGTTATCCACATCTTGCGTACTACAAAATGACAGGTACACTTTAGACAGCAATGTAGATATCTGACGTCACCTATCCGCACTCTCATTCTAAGCAACAGCAGGGATTGGTCAAGAATTCTCATACTGATGTAATGCATTCATAAGGGCTCCATTAGGTCAGCATTCAAATACTGCTGTATTTTGATTGGTTAGTCAATCAGTTAATGCACCAGCAACACAATTCCTCAGAAATTCTGTTGCACATTGTTAATTCCTGAATATGGGAGGTTTGATATTTACTAGGGATGTTCAGATACGAAGTACCGTACTCGGTACAAGTACAAGTACAGATACTTTTCCAGCTCCAGGACTAGACTAGAGAAAAATTCAAAAGCTAGGAGGCAGCTGTCATTTGTAATGAGCACACGGAGCTCGGGGGATTTGCATTATTATTTTTTTAATAAATATATATAAGTGATGCACGGATACCATTTTTCCAAGTACAAGTACTGATACTTATCCAAGTACTCACAGACACAAATACTGATACATTTTTGTTTTGTGTCATGTGACAGTTTTTCTAAAACAATACAGACTAATGATTTCTGGACAGTGGTGGAGCGCCAGAGCCAGAGCCAGGTCCCAGCTGCAACCGCTGCAACCCTGGTAGTTCTCATGAAAATGCCAAGTATCAGTTTTAGTTTCCTTCAGAATCAGCTGGTCTCCTGAGCACTAGACCTGATATCCTGTTTTAGGGTGGCTCCTTGACCTTGCAGGGTCCTATGGAGCCACTCTTGTGTGTACTAGTAAGCTTTCCCTGTCTCTATAAATGCAGAGGCACATCAAAGCAAGCCACTCTTCTTCTTCCTGATCCCCCCCTTTGCCCTCCTCCTTTCTCCAAGCTAGCAGATGGATGACTGCTGGAGACTGCTCTGTCCCTGGTGATCTTGTACAGGGCAGGAGAAGTTTAGGGAAGCCGAGCTGAGAGAGTTGCAGCTGTTCAGAAACATGATGACTGTACATGCTTGGGCCACATTTTAATGATATATTTTGTTGGGCAATTGTCTTTGACAGATTATTTGTTGTATAACATATTGCTCTTTGTTTAGCATGATAATGCAAGGAATGCAAACTGACACACACACACACACACACACACACACACACACACACACACACACACTTGGTCTCAGCAATTCCTAAAGTTTATTAAGTAGCACACTACTTTATATGCTTTGTAATTATCATAATTCTGACTGCGCATGCACCTAAACCTCATCTACAAAACAACCTTCAGAAGAGGCCAGCTTTTGCTAAAACTGGTGCTTGCTTACAGTTTCATTTATTTAGAAAGAGAAAGTCAAAGGAGAAAGACAAGATGGCTGAATATAAAAAAAGAAAGATTTCATATATACCATAAGAAGGACACTTGACTGTAGTCAGGAAATCCAAGTAAAATTCAGTTTTATTAAGGGCAAACACAAAAAGTCTCTTTCTATCAACAGGGTAGACTTCCACTGTTACACAAGACAGCTTCCAGCAGCAACATAAATGACAGTCTTTTGTTCACAAAAGAGCCAACATTCTCATAATAATCCGCTTTTCTTCAGCATATACCATCCTCAGTTTTGCTCAGTAGCTTTCCTCAGCTCCAAGCACACCTCTGGGTGATACTCACACTGCTCTCTCAGTAGTGTGTCCAACAGGTCCCTTGGGTCACCGACCTTCCTAACCTCTCCCAGCCTCCCCTGGCAGTTCCACATGCGTCCAGCACGCACCCGAGTCTGCCTGGGTCCATGTGTCTCCTGCACACACAACTCCACTGAGCTTTGCTCCAGACTCCTAATAAGGCCGCTCTCAGCCACCTGATCCACCTATAATGGTCATTGGCAACACCTGGCCCCGGGACTTGAGATTAAATCCCACTATAGTCCGGAAAACCTGGAAGGAACTGAAAAGCCAGTTCCTCCTCTGCAAAGGTATTCACATGCTGGAAACTCTCAGACCCTCTAACTGAGTGTTCTTGGGGACTGTGTTGCCAAATTACATTGTGGCATTGCCACACCCTTCTACAATGCACTTTCTTTTAACACAATGTATATTTGTTTGATCTGGATTAACTATCAAAAAAAGTTTGAGCGTTTAATACTACTTTAAAGTGGGATGGCAGCCATTTTGGTTGGAGGCTAGAATGTTTGTAAGCTTTTCTTTTTTTTTCTTTTCTATCTGTGTTTTGTCTACGGCGCCCTTTTAAAAGGTCAAATCTGATTGGTTTGTATAGAAAACAGTGTCCACTTTCCAAACCAGGCCCAGCGATTCACCCGATCATTTAATACTCCGGCTGGATATTTATTTTATGATCTATCATAGACTCTGAGCAAATTTCGTGAATAAATATTACATGAGGATGTCACACCATGTTAATATGACTCTTACATCCCGTCATGTACAGATTACAGCACAGCTGTTACACTGACATACACTTCTCTATCTCCTTGCATGTAAATTTAGATTAGAGCCATTGAGAGTGATGGTTTTTGGCTTCTGTGATATTCTTCATTAAACAATACTATTTACTCAGCGAGCGCCTCATGAAAATGCCATATTTACAATATTTATCCCAGAGCACACGAGAACTCATGGGCACTGTAGCGTATATATCAGAAGCAACCTCTGCCTTGTATATCAGTCAGATAAGCATCGCTAATGCCGCCGTCTTGTACAATTTCATTATTTGTGTTTTCCCATCTCAGGCTTTGGCTCCTCTCCATAAATCTTTGAATTATGCATCTTTTAACCCCCTAAGCAAAGTAATAGAGTTGGCTTCCCGTAAAGGCTGGCTTCGCCCAAGCCACTAAATAATCCTAATAAGTTTTTCTTTTATATACTGTAGTCAACCGTGTAAATATACTTGTGCTAATTAAATTAATTAAGAGAACTGGGGCATGATAAAACAAGCGATTTAATGCTGACAGGAAGATGCAGAAAGGGTGCTTGCTTGCTATCATTTCATACTGGTTTATGATAAAGGATGCAAAGTATATCAAATGAACACAAATAGAGAGGAGCATAACAAATCATACATAATACAAAGAGCATAAGTTCAATTGTGAGACCCAAGCTGTCATCTGGCAAATCGGACATTTACTATTAGGCCTGGTATGCTTAAAATTGGGGGGCTTGGCCACCTAAAACTTTTGTTTGAAGGAACAGTAACCTCAAAATCTTGAGTGCTTCTGTATTAAGTATAGAAGAGTACATGTAGTATCAACCTCTGGATGCCTCAGCTCTTTCATGGGCCTGATCAGGTCCCTCCAACATTGACATTATACCCAAATGATGAACTAGGTCACACCACTGACCTGTAATTGAATTATCCCAATTCAGAATGATTAGTAAAAGCTATGCTATGGAAGGCAGTTAAAGGAATTATTGGGGGACTAAATGGAATACTGCAGTAGTAGATAACAACTTAAATCAGTTGAAGGGAGTTCCAAGTAAAGCCCCACATACACTGCCTTGTTATAACATCAGCATTTTAATAGGAATACATACTATAGTTGTTTGTGATATTGCAATGAAAGATTACTTGAAAAAAAATCTTTTATGTAGTGAGTGCTGCTTTCCATCTCCCCATCACTTTCATCAACTTCCTGGACTCCCAGTGTGCTTTGCATCTTTTCCCCTGCTGCTTGATGTGATGCACTCTCGATTTCTCAAGACTACATAGCCCAAAATGCATTTCTTCCAGCAAGCAATGATAATGTTATATTGTTCAGACGTTGAGTTGAGGTTCAGAAGGCAAGCTGTATGATAGTGGTGACACAAGGAAGTGCATTTTCAGATGGCTGAGTGAAGGTGTGTTAGTACATTGAGGAAGTACACCCTATGGGCAACAAAGTTCAAAAACTTCTAGGTGGATCTGGTTATTAGGAGTGGGATAGAAATTATGGAAATTCTATATCAAATTACATATTTATTTTCTGACCATAGATACCCCTTAATAAAACTTTCATAGTTATTTTATGTATTGCAAAATAATTAAGTTAAAGTGATTATGCCACCAAAATGTAACTTTACATAA